AACTGACAAAGAAAAGGATAACTGACAAAGAAAAGGATAACTGACAAAGATTCTTGGATACTCCGACCAATGAGAGTGATGAAAAGTAAGTAAACAAATACAGATAAATTAAAATTAGGGAGAGACCGGGGAAGGTATAATGAGGGAGAGGGAAGGGGAAGGTAGTGAATTGAAGATAGGAAGGGTTGAGAAGGGAAGACAAGGGGAAGGTAGAAATGGGAAAGTTTTAGAAGGAAAATGTAAAGAAAAGAAGATAAGAAAGGAAACAGATGTGATCGCAAGTTAAGGGAAGCTTTTAGCAGAAATAAACAACTTTCTCCAAAAAAAATTCATATGTTTTTTTACAAAAGTCATAATTTTCCCCAACCAAGTATGATCATAAGTAAAAGAAATAAAAATGACTTGGATTTCAACATTGTATAGCTCTATGGAGAGCCTTGGACAAAACAAAACTGATTGCATGAATTTTTGCACAAAATTTTGTACAGACGCATAAAAAGTAAATTTTTACATATCTATTTTATATATTACAAACTTGTATAAAAATAAAACAAAAAAATGTACAATCACGCTAACCTGTGTCTGATCTGCTCCATTTCTGAATCCAGTTTTTGACCCAGGAATAGAAATCTGTGTCATCAGATTCTTGAATATCATCCAGGTATTCATCAGAAGAGAGACAGCCCTTTAAATAGCCTAAACAAACAGATAACATAAATTCATATTTAATAAATTTGAACCAGGTTCAGCTAGTAGTTCCAAGCTCAATTGTGCAAAAGTGTCATTTTAACAACAAAAAATATACCCTGGCAAAACTATTCCTCTAGCATATTAATAAAAATCAACTGTCAAGAAAATTATAAAATTGAATGAATCCCAATACCTTGAACTTGATCCTGAAGTATGTTACAAAGATCTTCAAACAGGAAAGTATTCTCATACTTCTTGATTCCCTTGAGTACATGAATCCAGTTCTCCTGGTTGATCTTGAAGCTAGAGACAACTTCCTTAATCAGGTTCCTGGCTCCACGCAGCTCATACTTGTCTCCCAGATAATACAGATCAAAGAGATCATCTATAGTGGATATATCTGAACATAAATATCAATAAGATCATTAATAGAGGATACATCTGAACATAAAGATCAATAAGATCATTAATAGAGGATACATCTGAACATAAAGATCAAACTGATCATCAATAGAGGATACATCTGAACATAAAGATCAATAAGATCATTAACAAAGGATATATCTGAACATAAAGATCAATAAGATCATCAAAAGAGGATACATCTGAACATAAAGATCAATAAGATCATCAATAGAGGATACATCTGATCATAAATATCAATAAGATCATTAATAGAGGATATATCTGAACATAAAGATCAATAAGATCATCAATAGAGGATATATCTGAACATAAAGATCAATAAGATCATCAATAGAGGATATACCTGAACATAAATATCAATAAGATCATTAATAGAGGATACATCTGAACATAAAGATCAATAAGAACATTAATAAAGGATATATCTGACATAAAGATCAATAAGATTATTAATAGAGGATACATCTGAAGATAAAGATCAATAAGATCATTAATAGAGGATATATCTGAACATAAAGATCAATAAGATCATCAATAGAGGATATATCTGAACATAAATATCAATAAGATCATTAATAGAGGATATATCTGAATATAAAGATCAATAAGATCATGAATAGAGAATACATCTGAACATAAAGATCAATAAGATCATTAATAAAGGATACATCTGAACATAAAGATCAATAAGATTATTAATAGAGGATACATCTGAACATAAAGATCAATAAGATTATTAATAGAGGATATATCTGAGCATAAAGATCAATAAGATCATTAATAGAGGATACATCTGAACATAAAGATCAATAAGATTATTAATAGAGGATATATCTGAACATAAAGATCATTAAGATCATTAATAGAGGATATATATGAACATAAAGACCAATAAGATCATTAATAGAGGATCAAACTGATCATCAACATAGGATACATTTAAAAAATATAATCAAAAAGATCATCAATAGTGGATACATCAGAACATAAAGATCAATAAGATCATTAATAGAGGATATATCTGAACATAAATATCAAAAAGATTATCAATGGAGGATACATCTGAACATAAAGATCAATAAGATCATTAATAGAGGATACATCTGAGCATAAAGATCAATAAGATCATTAATAGAGAATATATCTGAACATAAAGATCAATAAGATCATTAATAGAGGATATATCTGAACATAAAGATCATTAAGATCATTAATAGAGGATACATCTGAACATAAATATCAAAGATCATTAATAGAGGATATATCTGAGCATAAAGATCAATAAGATCATTAATAGAGAATATATCTGAACATAAAGATCAATAAGATCATTAATAGAGGATATATCTGAACATAAAGATCATTAAGATCATCAATAGAGGATACATCTGAACATAAATATCAATAAGATTATCAATAGAGGGTACATCTGAACATAAAGATCAATAAGATTATCAATAGAGGATACATCAGAACATAAATATCAAAAAAAAATCAATGGAGGATACATCTGAATGTAAAGATCTAGATATAGCGTCAATGGTTCAACTGACCTATAATAACTGACTCATCTCCAGTGTATAAGAACTGGATGAGGGTCTGGAAACTAATGAAGGATGGTTCAACTGACCTGTAATAACTGACACATCTCCAGTGTATAAGAACTGGATGAGGGTCTGGAAACTAATGANAAAGATCAATAAGTACATGTCTATCTATCTATCAATATATCTTTCTATCATAATAACCAGCTACTACTGTTTTAACCTGATATATATTTTAAATATTTCAAATTTTCTCTTAAAACCGCTGTTTTTAAGACTGACTTCTATATTCCTATAACCAAGGTTATAATGCAAGGAAAGTTATTTCAGAGGTGCACGCATCTTTGTACTACAGTGTACTGTCTCTGGGCGGTAATGTAAACACAAGACGGATGTCGAAGACTGACATGGGATCCGTCTTTCAAATAAAAAATCAATAAAATAATCTGGTCATAGGAAACTATTTTGTGAAATATCAAAATTATCAAAATTTGATGCTTCTAACCTCCCCGGATACTAGGCTAGCACTGATGCATATATTCTTGTTTACAAATTCCACCCAGAGAAAACTGGTTTCAATATGTAAGCAACTGCAATTAAGTTTCCTTGCATTATAGCCTTGCATATAACTATTTTTTAGACAAACAGAGAAGGTCAAGTTTGTGCGATATTACAACTTTGTAACCTCTAGTTCCTCTAGTTATAAGTTTAGGGTTACCCAAGATTTACAAAACAAAAGTTCGACTTCAGTAAATTTAATTTCAGCAAATAATCAATTTTATTTTTAAGTCGTAATAAAGTTAAAAACACTAGACTTAAAAGATTTATTTTATTGTAATAATACATGAAAAATTAATTGATTAAATAGGGTACAGTACAGTGAAAATATTCATTTGAACATTTGTTCATTTCTGATAATTTAATTTAATTCATTTCTGATAATTTAATTTAACTGTTGATGGCTGGTCTCTATTTTACTTGAATTTAATGTTTTTTTATAAAAAATATGGTTCTCACTTTTTCTGGAAATAAACATTTGAAATAAACATAAGCTCAGTAATAAGATTAACATAAAAATAGCTTCATTTACTTAACAATCTATTTCTTATTTCTTCTAATTTTAGAAACACTATCTCATATGTTTGAGATGGGTTGGTGGTAGACAAAGATGATTATGCTTTATACATTGTAAATATAATATTTGTTAAAGGCCATATGTAATGTATTTTTATTGTGAAGTTATTGTGTACAGCATCCTCAGGTGATATCCCCATAGGAGCACATCTCAGTGTTCCAGATCTGAGTATGTTTCTATCATCCACATTTTTCCAACTGTAATAGAACACATCCAATTGTTTCCTCTTCACTGTGGTGCGCGATGTAGAACATATCCTTTCCATTGACATACTTTATACTGATTATAAACCAGTCTCTGGATTCTTCCAGCTTATAAACTACATTATAACAATTATTAGTAAATATCACCTCTGTATTCAGCTTCAGATGACACTCTTTATAATTCATAGCATCACAACTTTTGATATGCTCAAACATGTTTTCTAAGGGAATATTACTCTTACAACAACCAGGACAAACTGGAATAACAACTTCAAAATCTGCTTTGCCTTTAATTTCCTTCATTATTCTCAATTTCTGTTCTGTGTTCTTAATAAATTCTTCATGCTGGGATTCCAAATTCTGAATCTTTCTATCCTTTGTCTGTAGATCATGTTGCAGATCATTCTGATTTAATTCCAGTTCTTCAATCCTCTTATCTTTCTGTTGTGTGGTCTGGATTAGTTCTTCATGCTTTAATTCCAATTCTTCAATCCTCTTATCTTTCTGTTGTGTNAAAAATTTACCGCACAAATTTTTTGTGGAATGGCACACCGTTTGCACTTGCTTCCGTAAAATTAATTTTTGTCAAAAAAATCAAATTTCCGCGCAAAATTTGCTGAATACCCATGCAAAGTTGAGTATTTTTGCACAAAAATTTGCTTCCGCTGAAAACATTGGTCCCGCAGTCTAATTTCCAATAAAAAAATTGGCTTTAACACCACCAAAAAAATGTTTATAAAAAAATCACAAAATGGTACAATAGTTTTTTATGATGCAAAAACAATTTCTTTCAAAAAGTTTATTTTAATTGAGAGAAAGGATTCTTCATTTGTTCATTTAAATTACTCAAATTCCTAAATTAGGGTAGTTCTTTTTTTCTACTATTTTACAATTGTATCATGTTTGAATTAACTATTTAAAACACTGTTAAATGGTGTACAGTGTTTTTAAGTTTTTAGTCAGAAATTTTCTCTTTAAAGAGAAGGTTCAAGCCTTTTTAGATTTTATTTTGTCTCTTACTAAAGCTCGGGACAAAATATAATCTAAAAAGGGCGAGAACCCTCGAGATATAGACAAAATTTAAGTCCAAAAACTTTATAGCACGTCGTGCCAAAATAATAGTTTTACAGGTAATTTTTTGAAACGTTTCTGTACTTGTCTTATTTCAATGGCTATTTCTAAAGATCAAATAAGCTTTGAAACAAAGCAAAAGTAAAAAAATAAAGTTGACACACATGCTATGTACAGCTAATTTTACTTATTATAGCACGTTTATTATGAAATTCACGATGAAGTGAGTAAGAATGATAAAGTACACAATAGTTTCATAAAAAAACTAGACTATATCACCAATTCACTTAAGCTTAAAAGTGATTGTGAACTACTACAATAATTGTGCTATTACAGTTTGCTAATGCGCATTGTTTTCACAAATAAAATTGAAAAAATTTCAAGTTCTGATTGTAAAGCAAAATCTTCAGCTCTCCTTGGCAATGTGGAGAAAGTTTTCTGTTACCGTAAAAATTCTATAACTTTAAGTTATGATTGTAAAGCTTAATCTTCCACTCTCGGTGCGGAGAATTTAAATATAGAAAGACACAAGGGAAAAAAAGATATCCTGATTATTTTCATGTTGAAAATTATTGTGTGCCTTTGAGTGGCACATGAGTATTCACAAATGAAATTGAAAAACATCTTAAGTTTTGATTGAAAAGTAAATCTTTAGAGAAAAAGACTAGAGAGGGGGGGGGCCTTTTTATGGTCAAGAGTAACCCTGGCGAAAATGGGGGCTGGGGTGGGGTGGANATACTGTCCAAACAGGACATGATTTTTTGAACAAAATTATATATATACTGTCCAAACAGGACATGATTTTTTGAACAAAATTATATATATACTGTCCAAACAGGACATGATTTTTTGAACAAAATTATATATATACTGTCCAAACAGGACATGATTTTTTGAACAAAATTATATATATACTGTCCAAACAGGACATGATTTTTTGAACAAAATTATATATATACTGTCCAAACAGGACATGATTTTTTGAACAAAATTATATATATACTGTCCAAACAGGACATGATTTTTTGAACAAAATTATATATATACTGTCCAAACAGGACATGATTTTTTGAACAAAATTATATATATACTGTCCAAACAGGACATGATTTTTTGAACAAAATTATATATATACTGTCCAAACAGGACATGATTTTTTGAACAAAATTATATATATACTGTCCAAACAGGACATGATTTTTTGAACAAAATTATATATATACTGTCCAAACAGGACATGATTTTTTGAACAAAATTATATATATACTGTCCAAACAGGACATGATTTTTTGAACAAAATTATATATATACTGTCCAAACAGGACATGATTTTTTGAACAAAATTATATATATACTGTCCAAACAGGACATGATTTTTTGAACAAAATTATATATATACTGTCCAAACAGGACATGATTTTTTGAACAAAATTATATATATACTGTCCAAACAGGACATGATTTTTTGAACAAAATTATATATATACTGTCCAAACAGGACATGATTTTTTGAACAAAATTATATATATACTGTCCAAACAGGACATGATTTTTTGAACAAAATTATATATATACTGTCCAAACAGGACATGATTTTTTGAACAAAATTATATATATACTGTCCAAACAGGACATGATTTTTTGAACAAAATTATATATATACTGTCCAAACAGGACATGATTTTTTGAACAAAATTATATATATACTGTCCAAACAGGACATGATTTTTTGAACAAAATTATATATATACTGTCCAAACAGGACATGATTTTTTGAACAAAATTATATATATACTGTCCAAACAGGACATGATTTTTTGAACAAAATTATATATATACTGTCCAAACAGGACATGATTTTTTGAACAAAATTATATATATACTGTCCAAACAGGACATGATTTTTTGAACAAAATTATATATATACTGTCCAAACAGGACATGATTTTTTGAACAAAATTATATATATACTGTCCAAACAGGACATGATTTTTTGAACAAAATTATATATATACTGTCCAAACAGGACATGATTTTTTGAACAAAATTATATATATACTGTCCAAACAGGACATGATTTTTTGAACAAAATTATATATATACTGTCCAAACAGGACATGATTTTTTGAACAAAATTATATATATACTGTCCAAACAGGACATGATTTTTTGAACAAAATTATATATATACTGTCCAAACAGGACATGATTTTTTGAACAAAATTATATATATACTGTCCAAACAGGACATGATTTTTTGAACAAAATTATATATATACTGTCCAAACAGGACATGATTTTTTGAACAAAATTATATATATACTGTCCAAACAGGACATGATTTTTTGAACAAAATTATATATATACTGTCCAAACAGGACATGATTTTTTGAACAAAATTATATATATACTGTCCAAACAGGACATGATTTTTTGAACAAAATTATATATATACTGTCCAAACAGGACATGATTTTTTGAACAAAATTATATATATACTGTCCAAACAGGACATGATTTTTTGAACAAAATTATATATATACTGTCCAAACAGGACATGATTTTTTGAACAAAATTATATATATACTGTCCAAACAGGACATGATTTTTTGAACAAAATTATATATATACTGTCCAAACAGGACATGATTTTTTGAACAAAATTATATATATACTGTCCAAACAGGACATGATTTTTTGAACAAAATTATATATATACTGTCCA